CTCTTTACATTTCATTTTCTCTTATTTTTAGATCACTGAGGAGATTTATCAAGTGGCAGGCGACTTCATTATTCTCACTGGTAAATATGAAATGCTACAGAGAAGATGGGAGAATTAAAGGGAGACTTCACGCAATTCTGGAAGAAGACCGGTGATACGTATAAGATCATGTACGACGGGTATACCTTCTACTTATGTTTTTTCTTGTGTGAATGCCTGTTTCTATGGATGTGATAGAAACGTGGTTTTTTTGTCGGTAGTCTGCCTGGATTCTTTTTATAACAACAATAAAATCCTATATTTTACGATGTTATGTCGTTGGAACGGAAACTTGGTGAGCACATAGCACTGATTGCGATTTTGTCTCGTCAGCTGAGATATGGGCGCAGGAAATTTTCCGACAGTTAGTGAAATGATCTAAATAGGAATCAGTAGGTACGGATTGTTTACAGCAGAAGTGTATAAAGACATTAAACGTTTTATTAAATGGAATAACTAACTACTACAAAGGCAGATCAGGTTCGCAACCAACAACTCTATCCACGTTATCTAACGAAAAGTTGAAGTCAAAATTCGTGCACATGGTGCCGCCATGCTTGTTTAGACAGAACTTTTGATCGACACAACTGATCTCGATACCGTAGGGCATAATGATGTCCGGAATCTTAAAAAGATTACTTTAGTACGATGAGAAGTAACGATATTCATGATAAATAATCGTAACATCTCCTCAAGTATTCTGCGAACACACACAAACCGGCAGCACTGCCGCGGCACACCGGACAGGCACACTCGGACATGGCTGGCTGCTGATTGATTGCTGACGTCATCGTCACATATGTGTTCGCAGACTACTTGAGGAGACAGTATACCGCTAGTTTTAACGACTTCGCCGTTCTGTTTTCTCCCAGCTGGTTTTACTGTTTCTTCACTCGGTCCGTAGGAGGGGCTACACACGACAGATGGCTCAAACGCCGGACTACAAACGCATGACGGTACACACGTCGGACGGTGCGCACGCCCATGACGGGTTTGGTCCTATTCTACGCACCGGCTGGAGAACTCATTGCTCCTATCCTTTACTATAAGTAATGATTTTCAAAGTTGAAGCCTACTTTATTTGCTCTGCCTACGCAAAAACACAGAGATCCATCAAAGGTTTTCAATTCACGCAACGACATGCCAGTGTATAGTTACAGAAAAATGGCCAAAACAGGCAGAATGCAATTTCGCAGTTCCAGTCTACTGCTAGTAAGCCGCTTGCGAACGGCCCGAATAGGTTCAGCCTGGACTCTGACGGATTGTCGTGTAGATGCAAAGCCACTAGCATGCTGGTAATTGTTTAAAAGATCCAGAGGTATCCTGAATCCTTGACTAAAGGAGAATTCTATCAGACAGAATTAAAAGACTCATTGGCTATCGTCGATTTCCCCGATATCGCAACTGGTTTCGTTTCAAAAACCATTCCAAATTGTCAGAGCTAGGTCAGAGACGCAGAGGAAGTGACATCAGACACAGTGGAATGGCGTGTAATAAAAATATGGTACGTGATCACAGTAATTGCGAAGGTGGGGAAATCGACGATATTAGCCCTACAGTATAACCTAAGCTTAAACTGTTCTAGATCAAGGAGACGACGATGAACTCAGAGACTAATGGTATATGCTTAAAGCTTGTGCTAACTGATATTCGCGCTTTCAAAATCCCTACAGCAAATGAATGTCTAGAATGTGCATGATGTTATGGAAGATGACGTAGAAACAGGAAAATACAGTCATAAAAACCCGAGCAAAAGCATGCATAGCCGATTTACCTGACAAGTGCGCGTCTGCGAGCGCCGTGAGGGCCCGGTGATGGCCCGTGATCTCGATCGATACAGCTGAACTGTGTGCCATGCGCATGCTGCCGTGATATGGCAAAACTCACGTACACACGCACTTGTCAGGTAAATGCCCTATACCATGTATAGGAACGAATGAACAGGGACTGAATCGGAGCCAGTATGCCCATGTCATCGGATCATATGCCTGCGATTTAGGCGCCGTGTAACGAAAAGTGGACCTACCAGACTTCTCTTCTTCCTGTGGTCCAAAAAGCTCTTCAGATTTCTTGTCCCCGCTATGTTCAGAAAAACGCACATCATAAAATTGGAAGGTGGCTCCAGAGCAAGTTCAGAATCCTCGCTAGAATAAAGTAATAATGAAGTACGAAAGTTTAAACAGCTAATTCAAGCATATCTGATAAAGTACTACCTGCGCCCGATGATTACTCGAAGAGCGTTCTTCTCAACTATCCATTTGAAATCGTAGTTATGAAAACCCAACAATGATAACTGCTCTTTCAGTTTCTGCATGTGAGGGTTCACATGGTCTGATATCAGGTCTTTCAACTGAAAATACCCTTGAACAAGTGCTGCGAAACTTTTTATGAAACTTTTTATCTACCTTCTTGGATAATCCAGCGTCGATTTCCTCTCTGACACGCCTTTCGACGTACGATAGGGCATGTTTGACGGCGAACTCCTCTTTAAACAGAACGCCTGCGTCCATTTTGATGTTTGAATTCACGGCCACGGCCGGAATAAATTTGAACTGGTTTTCATCCCATATCAGCATGATGTCGAAGGTTGCATCACTTGATGACAAGCTAAGACAGCAGTTATTGGAGCAGGTACGCTCATTTGCAGCCGAAATACCGAGCACTGTCATCCTTGTTCTGCAGCTTAGACGTTAAACTGTCGAGAAAAGATTAGCACAGAAATACAGAGCTGGGTAAGACTGAGGATGCTCGGCACTGTTGCCATAAGTGAACAAAGAAAAAATAGGAAGGAGTTTGCACCGCTTCTAAGAACCTCATTCAAGAAGGATTGCACGAGTATCCCGCAAAATACGCAGAACCGCCCTAAGGCGCCTGATGCTGTGTCGCATGAAGTTTTTGACAAAAACAAAGCTGCTGAGAATCCCTTTTCGTGAACCTAAACCGGGCTGGCAATTAGGCTGAAGCTTAGACCTTACCTGGACCAAACATTAGGGCTGGCTTGAATTTAGGCTTAGCTCTGGACATGAACTGAGACTGGACTTCAGCTTAGGTTTTTACTTAGATCTGTGCTAGAGAGAAGTGGAAACTGCGGCAATGGCGCAGTGGTTAGCGCTCTCGTTTGGCGAGCGAGATAGTCACGGATCGGACCCCGCCTGCGTCCAACATCTTTTTCTAACTTAGGCTTAACACGGTAGCTCGACCTGGGCCAAGACTTCGGCTTAGGCTTAGGCGTAGCCCAGTACATGGACCTCGGCCAGGACTTCGGCTTCGACCTAGGCTTAGATCAGGACTCAGGGTGAATGCAAGTTGCGGCAGTGGCGCAGTGATTAGCGCATTTGTTTAGCGGGCGAGGCGATGATGGATCGGACCCCGCCTGCGCCCAACCTCTTTTTCTAACTTAGGCTTAACACTGTAGCTCGACCTGGGCCAGGACTTCGGCTTAGGCTTAGGCTTAGCCCAGGACCTGAACCTCGGCCAGGACTTCTGCTTAGGCTTAGGCTTAGTCCAGGACTCAAGCTCGATGCAATTTGCGGCAGTGGTGCAGTGGTTAGCGATCTCGTTTGGCGAGCGAGATGGTCATAGATCGGACCTCGCCTGCGTCCAGTATCTCTTTCTAACTTAGGCTTAAAGGCAGTGTACGGGGAAATCCTCGATGCTGAGATTTTGATATGGAACGAAAGAAGACAATGCCACGAGTGCGGCTGTGACGGTGCAGATGCTCAAATCTGCTTTTGAACGCCGAAAAACAGTCTTTTATGCGCAAAAACGCACAAAATGCTCCCTAATAGCCCTTTTCTTACAGCATTCTTAGGCAAATTTGGGGTATACTGTCACCATAGCTGTACTGAGGAGGCCTTGATCTTGCAGCGCATACCAAATTTGGGGACAACCACCTTGATTTGACTCCTGCCCTACGCCTCCCGTTCTTGCGTTAGAAACTTATGTTTGAATTAACCCTCAGATTAGCTTTCAGCGTCTTGTTTTTGGAACAGAATGAAAGAGCAAGGCCTCCTCCGTACAGCTATAGTGGTAGTATATTTCAAATTTGTCCAAGAGCGCTGTAAAAAAGGGCTATTAGTGCGCATTTTGTGCGTTTTTGCCTCATAAAAGGGTGCTTTTCAGCATTTGGAGGCGGTGCTGGGCATTTTCACCGTGACAGCCGTAATAAGATCGTTGTCTTCTTTCGTTCCATACCAAAATCTCACTATAGAGGATTTCCGCGTACTCTGCCTATAAAGGAAGCACCAACGGAAAAAAATCGATTTTGAGATTTTTGAATTTTTTATACCCTAGCCACATGGGTTGCCTAAAGCCAAAGTAAAAAAGCGCAAAAGTTAAAACTCACCGAG